ATTTGAAGTATATACAATATTTTTAAAGTAAATGGTATCTAACAATAAAATTAAATATATTAAATATGTAACAATAAGTATGGAGGGTCTTTTAAAAAATTAAAAAGAAAATATTACTTACCAAATTAAAAAAAAACAAAAAAATCTATATAATGTAAATGTTTTAAAATTATTCCAACTTTTTAATGCTTTTTACTAAGAAGTTTATAAACTTTTAATTTTTTTAATGCAAATATTTAACGAAAATATTTTAAAATGTTATAAAAAATATTAAATTGTCATATAAAGTCTGTGAAACACTTTAAAAATATTGTAAAGAAAGTTTAAAAATAAATGTATGAAAATTATAGAAAAATTGTATGAAAATTTAACGGGTCCACGGAGCCAAAAATACTTTAAAATATTTGGTAAGTAATATGTCTAGGTTTATATTCCAAATATACTTTAAATATGGGTCCACCGAGCCCGGTATCCGTTTCTTAACGGGGTGGGCTGGACTTGAGTTTGGAATGACTCGGTTTGGACATACTGTATTTGTTATTTGGTCAATTTACCAAAAAAATAGGTTATTTATGTTAAATATAGTTAATATTTTGGTTACTTTAATTAATATAAAAAAAAGGTTAAAAACACAACCAAATTAAACATCTACGAATTGTGAACCGATTTGATCCGGTTCTATTTGGTAGTCCGTACACCTTAAACCAAAACGGTTGCGCGTTTTACGGATCAAATATTCGGGGTCCATCTTAACGAAGACTTTGCGTTTCAGAACACTTACTCCATCGATCTCCATTGCAACAGTCAGATCTCTAATTGGTTGATTGGTTAGCTGATCGTCGCGGAGATTGATTGAATTGAGCCCTAGAGTCTGGTATTGAGCTAAATTTATGTTTGTAATTTCTTATTAGGTTTATTGTTAACTGTATTGGATCGTCGTCTGATGCTAAAACCTAAAACAACAAAAATGTTCGATCGCTCGTCTTTAGCAGTTCTATGTTTTTTCAAAGCATTTGGTAGTGTTATTATAATTGATTAAAGTTATGAATTTGTTGTAGAGGAGAAATATAAGTTTTTCTTTTGTAATTCTGTCATTTTTTCTGACGTAGAGGATGATTATTGTAAATGATTGAAGAATTTCTAGGGCAATACTAATCCCTTGGAAAAAAGGTGAAAAAAAAAATGGAAGAAAAGAGGAGATTACCATCATGGATGATAGGTGCATCGAGAACTAATAAACTGAGTAAAACCCTTCACCAGGATGTGAACGATAAGGTCGAAGTGAATGTTGGGACCAAATCTGAAGTACCCAAAGCAAAAGGTGTATCTCTGAAGCACAAAAAAGAGTTCTGCCCTTCTAGTGATGACAAGAGTTTTCTAGTCAAGTGTGAAACAAAACGAAAGAAAAGAGGAGTTGATGAAAAAGATGTGATTGAGTCTCATGACTTCAAGCAAGAAGTCGTTCTTGAGAAGAAAAAGCTTCGAAAGGTTAGGAGGAAGGTTGAAGAACCCGACCATTCAAGAACAAAGGAAGAACATACAGCTCAATCTTCTGATGAAGATGATGAGGATCTGACCATTGATGATCTATTAAGCATTGCAAAACAGGTAATTCTTTTTTTTTTTATATATTCTATGTACATGTTTACTGTGAGGTTTACTCATTCCTAAAGCCTGTTTTTGGGTAACTTTTTTGTAGTTTGTTGAAAATGAAAAGAGTGATATGAATCACCAGAAGTCATCAGAAGGACTATTAAAAAGAAAGTCTTCACATTCTTTTTCTTCTTCTGTAATCAAAACTTCCCTCATTGCCCCTCAAGCTACTAAATCACCTGCCCAGGAAGAAACTGCTTTACATTATGAGTCTACTGAGACTACAACAGGGGATCCAGCTCAAGACATGCTTGATTTGCTTTTGGGGCCTTTACTAAAGAAACCAATAAGAAAAGAAGAGGATACTTCTATTAGGGATATGATTGTTACCCATGAAGTTACGAATCAACAACAACATGATGCTGTTGTTTCCAACAAACCACTCAACCTAACAAAGAAGAAAAGCAGCCTCAGGGATGCAGTAGCAATGCTTCTTGATTGAGAAAGCTTACATACAGATACAAGAGAATGCGGTGGATTTTATCAAGTTTTTAGCTTGTAAATATATACAACATGTTTTCAAGTTTTTGCACTAGTTGATTATGAGATTGAAGATATATATAGGAGGGTGTGGTTTATGTCATTTTAGTGATTTATATTTAAAATTCAGTAAATATATTAGAGAGCAGTAAATGTCTTGTGTAACATGGACTTTATCTATAGGTTGAGAGTTCTTTTTAGAGTAATTCGCAATGTTTTAAAAACCGGTTTGAACCGGCCGGTCGAACCGGTTGGACCGGGAACCGGAGGAGAGAGCGGTTCAACTATCACCGGTTTTATGTCAATTTCTGAACCAGATTGAACCGGTCGGTTTTTAGAAAAACCCGGTTGAACCGGTCAAAATAAACCGGTTGAACCGGTTAAACCGAATAAAACACATGGGAAAGAACCATTTTCATAATAAACTTTGATGGTTTTTTTTCAAATCTATTTAGTTTCTCTAAATAAAAACATATGGTAAATGTTATAAAGTTTTTTGATGTGTTTGTATTCATCTAAAACTATATTTTGTTTCGGTATTATATTTTTTTTTTGACGTATATGGATTGATGTAAAACAGTAAAACTTATGATTATGTGTTATTCTAATGTATTTGAATTGATCTACAACTTATTTTTATGTATATTTTTAATGTTTGAACTAGTAGCGGCAAACTCATTATTTATATATGTATGTATTTGTAGGAAAATAGGAAAAAAGATAAAAATTATAGAAACCGGTTGTACCGGGAACCGGTCACCATACCACTTCAACTAAAAAACCAGTTTTTAAAACATTGGTAATTCGAGTTAATGGCCCACCATGATACACCATCCCGTTTTTGAGCAGCTGCTTGATTTTTTAGAGGTAAAATGTTTTCATATTTTCAGTTTTCCAGTTTAGTTT